CCCCGCGCCCCTTCCGAGTGGGGAGGGGGGGGCGAGGGCGTCGGGTTTGGGCCCTCCCCTCGTTACTTGGGTCTGCTGGGTGCCTGGGTGGACAGTCCACCCTTGGCCCTGCCAGCGACGGAGGAGGCCGTCAGCATCCCCGAGTCCAGCCTGCTTTTAGACGATATTCCGGTTTTATGTTTTGCTGCCTGAGCGGTGGAAATAAAGAACGGCTTTTTGGTGTTGCTATTTTGCTTTTTTTCCCTGCGCTGTGGTCTGATAGGGGTATGGAAAGTCGGGCAAGGAGGGCGAATGGATTCTGAAGCAGTGATCGTCATCTTCAGGTTGCCGCTGGGTTTTTCTGTCGGCCTGAATTTTCCTGACTGCCTAATTTCTTTTTCAGAGACTGCTTACGTTCTTCATACCGTGATGTTGATTTCAGGCAATGAATAGAGGCTGCAAAATCATCCCCTGTACAACTCTGGAAGCATGGGATGAGCTTTACTCTGCAGCCCGTCACTACTTGTGCGAAGGCTTGAGTCTGGGCAGTGCAGGCAGTAGGGCTCCGGGCTGGGAGGCAGTGAATTCCCAAACTCGATGTTTGCCTCTTTTGTTTGTTTGTTTTTGTTTGATTGCTTTTGAGTACATCTGTAGAAAGTAGAATAGCCCCAAGCAGATGTTGGAGACTGGAAATAATTCATAAATCCTAACATGGATTACTCGGGAGAGGGGCAAAACACTCACGTGTTTTAGCAGTTACCCACCCCAAAAGCTGTAAGTAAGGGTTTTCTTCCCTAAATATCAAGTCAAGGGATGTTTTCAGCCTGCTACCCATGGACTTCTTGGTGTCTGTTGGCAAAGTTGTATATATGTGCTGTAGAGCACTCTGAGAACGTGCCATGGTACGCCGTCATGAACTGGAGCAGTGGGGATTAGGAAGTCTTGGTAACAGCAGGAAAAGGTTTTACATAGCAACTGGAACAGGCTTGCAACACTAAGACTTGGCTCAGTAATTCATCTCTTGTGGATAGAATAATACTGGATTTCTTGCCCTGTGAGCATGGTTCTAAATCTTTTGGGTTGTCTAAACATTGGGTGTAGAGAAGCTTGGTTTGCATTGCTTTTAACTGTTTTAGTCATGCCCTTTACAGCCGCCGTCTCTTTTTGGAGATGGGTTTGCACAGTTCCTTGCTACAAGCTTGGGGAATTAAGCTCACCTTTTTCTCCTGACAGGAGCATGGATTTTTGGTGTACATGTGTCTCTCTTGCACACCATGGCTGTCAAAGGTTGGCAAAGGAAAACGCTGAAAACTTTTCAACAAATTTCCTCAAAAAAATGGCCTTTGAAAAGGTGAAGAGCAGCTAACAGAATTCCAGTTGATTTGAGTCTGTGGAAAGTAAAATTGCAGTGCAGCGGTGGGATTGTTTTTGGAGAAGCTAAGCCTACACCTGTGCAGGGATGTTCGTGTTAGCTGTGTAGCAGTAGTCAGGTACTATTTTATGGTTTGCATTGTTCACAATGATATATTCCAGACAGCCTTTAAATTGCGTTGGATTACTGTCAGATTGTACACAGATATACTTTGTTTAGGAAGATTATAATTTACAAGAACCCATCTTATGTGAGCAAAATTTCTGTTGTACATCTGGCCTTAAATTCAATTGGAGTGCTCTGTGTGTTGGGGCTGAATTCAATGGAAGTCAGAAAGTCTTCACTCCAGCAAAATTCAGGTCACAAAGAGGCTGGAAAATCCTATTTTAACTTTTTGTCCACAAGCAGGAGGAACCAGTTAAATACACTGCTCAGTTTGCCAGTGGTGAGAGAAGAAGACAGAAGTAGTGCAACTCATTATTCATGTTAACTTTTTACATATTAATCAAACAAGTATTTCAGTTCCTGTTATTGGATAGAATTAAACAATGCCTTTGATTAATTTCCATTTTGTTCCTCAGATTGATATACTTGAAGATCCTGTTATAAAGAATGTCATTGTGCTACAGACAGTCTTACAAGAAGTCAGGAATCGGAGTGCACCAGTATACAAGCGAATTAGGGACGTGATTCAAAACCCAGAAAAACATTTCTATTCTTTCACCAATGAACATCATAGGTAAGGAGTGGAATATAGTATAACAAAGTTGTACTGATGTTCAGTAAAAGAAACTGGGAGGCAGAACTGGAACATGTGAGCTAGGTAAAGAAAATTAGACTGGAGTGCATAGAACTGTGTATTTCTGAGGAATCCTCTTGCTAAATAGTTGCATGTTCAAGGAGGTTTTCTGGTTTGTAATTAGTATGAGTATTTATATATGTTACGAAAAAGTGGTTAGAACGTTGAAACAAGTTTACAGACAAGACTGTTAACTTGAGCAATGGAATAATGCTTTTACATTTTACTGTCCCTTTTAAACATATTGCAGTGCTTTATTAATATCGCCAGCTCAGTCTGTAGCAGAAATCAAAAATCTGTTAGTTAGTGACAGAACGCTCTAAGAAATAAAGATGCAATTAATTTGCCTTTGTTTGTGCTCATGGGTACTTTCCAGTACTGCACTATCGTAGTTCTAGAATCCGTTGTTCTAGTATCTTGAATGCAGTCCTCTTCAGTTGCCAGTTAGAAGGTTGTGTTAGAAATTAACGCTTCCTTCATATTTTTCTTTACCCTTCTGTCTCCTGACCCTTCAGTGGCCTACAGAATGATACTCACATTACAAAAATTGGTACAGCAATGATTCTTTTGGCCTCACAGTCTTGATCTTGTTTGTTTGAAAAATTTTTGTAAGTGTGGATGGATGTTGGGATTTGTTTTGTTTTGTTTCCCCCCCCTTTTTTTTTTGTATTTTTTTAGAGAAACATACATAGAGCAAAAGCGAGGAGAATCTTCTAATGACCGCAATGACAGAGCCATTCGTGTAGCAGTGAAATGGTACAATGAACACTTGGAGAAAATAGAGGATGAGGAGAAGATTCAAGTTATCTTTTTAACAAATGACAGAACTAATAAGGAGAAAGCTCTAGAGGAAGGGATAACTGCTTATATGTGTAAGTGAAGTGGCCTGTATATTTAATTTATTGCTCAGATAAACAATCTCAGCAGTCTCTTCGTACCTATATCCCATACATCTCTTGCATAAATACTTATGTGTGTGCTTTTGTAGGTGAGGAGTATATAAAAAGCTTGGTAGCTAATCCTGATCTTGTAGATCGTCT